TGGATATAGAAAGTGCATACGATACCACACCGAGACCCATTATCCTTAATAAACTTAAAGATTGTGGAATATCTGGTAATATGGCTAATTTTATAAGTAATTTCCTATCTGACAGAACCTTTAAGGTAAAGGTAAACGGAACCAGATCTTGCTCATACACTATTGAAAATGGAGTGCCTCAGGGTTCAGTTTTGAGTCCCACCTTATTTCTTCTAGCTATTAATGATATTTGTTCCTTTATCCAACAACCAGTTAAATGTGCTTTATATGCAGATGATCTTGTTCTCCTCTGCCATGGTAAGAATACAGACAGTACTTCCACGTTACTTCAAAATGCTGTGAACAAGCTCAGCTACTGGGCTAGAAGTATAGGTTTTAGTTTTTCAACATCAAAATCAAAAGTTATGAAGTTCAGTAGAAGATACAATAGTATCTCAATCCCTCATATAAACCTCGAGGGTGTTGTACTAAACACTGTTACTTGTAACAAATTTCTTGGCGTAATCTTTGATAGTAAGCTCACTTTTAAGCGGCACATACAAGAAACCAAAGGTGTCTGTCTTAAACGCTTGAATATTTTAAAAACTTTATCTCACTATTATTGGGGGGCGGAGGAAGAATCACTGTTAAGAATTTATAGAGCATTAATCCGATCTAAATTAGATTATGGTAGCCCTGTTTTTATATCTGCATCCAAAACATATTTACGCACCTTCAACACTATTCATAACTCTGCCCTGCGACTGTGTCTTGGAGCTTTTAGATCCAGCCCAGTGAACAGCCTGTACTGTGAATCCCACGAGCTTCCTTTACATTTCCGCTATCAACTTAATTTGCTTTCTTATTGTACTAAAGTGTCTTCAAACTCTGATAATCCAGTATATAAACTTCTTAATCATTCATTAAACTCTAATGCAAACTCTTCAAAAATTCCTCAACCTGTTCTGCACATGTTAAAGCCTCTTTTAGATAATATCGACTTGTCTAACACCACTCCTATCTCTTTCTCTCATACTCCTCCTTGGACTAAAAAATTACCCAATATAGACATTTCATTATCCAAATACAGTAAAGAAAATACTCCCAGCGTACTTTATAAACAATATTTTAGACATATTATCAATACAAATGATTTTAATTCAATTTTATTTACGGATGCTTCCAAAAATGAAAATGGAGTAGGTGGCTCAGTAACAACCGCTGAAGCATTACTGGCAAAATTCAGACTCCCAATCAACTGCAGCATTCACTCAGGAGAACTTTTTAGTATCTCAAAAGCTCTGAAGTTACCAATTGAAGAGCGTCAGAAGGTGGCCATCTGCACTGATTCCCTATCATCAATTCAATCTATCCAGGACATTTTTTCTCAACATCCACTAGTTCAAGATATTCATGAATCTTTTCAAACATTATTAAAAAATGAAATTTGTGTTTCAATTATTTGGGTCCCTTCACACGAGGGTATTGAAGGCAATGAGATAGCCGACTATTACGCCAAAAAAGCTATTACAAGTAACATACCTTTAGAAAATATTCAATTATTTAAAGATGTAATAGGCTCTTTTAAAAAATCAATTTGGAATAAGTGGTCAGAATACTGGACAGGATCCAATACCAAATTATATGCAATCAAACCCGATGTCACCTCCTTTAAATTTCCAGCTAATAATAGAAAAAATAAAATTTTAATACGAAGATTACGGATAGGTCATACAAGACTCACCCATGGCTACTTAATGGCATCGGATAATCCACCGTTCTGCCAATATTGCCATAATACCAATCTCACTGTAAGTCATATACTGGTAGACTGTCCACAATATGAAGAAGCCCGCAAAAGCCTTGGATTGGGAAACTCTTTGAAAGATATCCTTGGAGTCCCCGAACAGTACCCAAGACTGATAAACTTTCTGCAGCACACCAACTTGTATAATTTAATTTAATTTTTTTAGGAAGTTGATATTATTAGAAAGTTAATATTATTAGAAAGTTGATATTATGTATCTTGTAAATTATAGTTTATTATATTTCATTGTATCGTGTCAATAACCATAGCTGTTGAGACACGTTAATTGTTAAATAAAAAAAAAAAAAAAAAATCATTGAACGGTATTTTCCGTAAATAATTAAATCATAAATAATTACTGGCATATAAGTACCAAAACATTTTTTCTCTTCGAAGAGTAGGCTTATGTCAAAACAACTTTTAAACTATTATAACGAACGAAAAGGTAACCCATTTCTAGTAAAATTTAATTATTTATTTCATTTTGGCGTGATCGTAGAAAAAAACTTGTGTGTAATTCAAGCAAAAAGTACTTTGGCTGTTTCGATAACTTTTTGTCTCGACAGCTATTTTGTTACAATAATTTTATAAACTTTTACTTAGGGTCGATTTCACCGTTTTGTTAAACGAAGTTTAAAATACTAAACGAAGATTAAAATGACATTTTTATATTAACAAAAACATAGTTTAAATTACTAAATGGAGATTAAAATGACATTTTTATATTAACAAAAACAAAGTTTAAATTATTAAATGGAGATTAAAATGATATTTTACATTAACAATGTCATTTTAATCTTCGTTTAGTAATTTATACTTCGTTTGACACAACGGTGGAATCAACCCTTAGCTAGATATATATTGATAAAGTGTTATTGCCTTCATCATAAATGAATCGTGCTAACAAATAAAGTCAAAAGAACGTCTCATAATTTAGAGGAGTATTACAAAATCACAATAGTGAACTGCCGAAAGAAGATCACCAGATGGAAAGAAATTTGAAATTCGTGATACCATTTATCGAATCAGGGCCAACATTTTTTTAAGAATTAATAGATAGAAAATTTGACGACATTGGCAGAACAATAACAAGTCTATGGCAAGTGATACATAACTTGGGTTTTAAATTTCAAAAGGAGGATAACAGAAAGGCCCTTTGTGAAAGAAGTTCTGTCGTGCACAAGAGAATTAACTTTCTAACAATAAGAAAATATTCTAAATTTAAAGAAGAAGGGGCGAATTTTATATATTTAGACGAAACATGGATATTTTCTAGGGGTGCAACCAAGAGAATATGGCAAGATGATAACGTAAAGTCCATCATCTTTTAGTTACCTACCAAAATTAGGTACTACAATACATAAGTATTTAAGTCCGGCCCAGAACGTCTCCCTACTCCTTCCACCCAGTTTTTCGGTTTTTGCAAAATTCGCGCAGCGACAAATGCTTCCTATGTTATCTCTACCCTTTCTAACCTCTTTGGTCAGACCTTAATCTAACAGGACTTGTTCAGTAAGCAGTCGCCAAAAGTTAGAAAATCGAGGTTACTCGATTTCAAATGGAACACAATAATTGAATTTAATTAAAACGAAAATTAACATGTGTCTTAAAAAAGTTTTTTTCCTACGACCACTTAGGAAAGTGACACATATCACACTATATAGTCCTATGGAAAGTGCCCTATATCACACGCGTATGAATTAGAATTTACATTCCACCCGTGTGCGAATATGCTACTTTCCGCATCAGCTGTCACAAAATGTCAAACGCATCATTTCTATTTTGATCTATGTAATGTCCATATTAATACTAAAATCGATATGATTGTTAAATTATTGAAATTGTTGTAAATTAGATCCTAAGTATTTATCTTTAACAATTATTATTGAAATAATTTTAAAATAAATAAGTTATGTTTGCTTTTTATTCTGGTTAAATACATAACCGATTAGATCATTCAATTGACACAAGGTCTATTAGCTCAGGTGGTAGAGGAGCAAATTTTATCAACTTTGCCATTTGAGACCTGGCGAGCGACCGCGTTCAAATCCTTGAGGGGGCAGATTTTTTTTTATTTTTTTTTGTTTTTTAGTTTTTTTTGTTTAGAAAATATGAAAATTTAATAAATACGATTATTATTGTTTGTTTTTTAAATTAATTTTATTTATTATAATATAAACATCGTTTTACATTTCCGCATCAGCTGTCACATAATGTCAAACGCATCATTTCTATTTTGATTTATGTAATGTCCATATTAACAGTAAAATCGATATGATGATTAAATTATTAAAATTGACGATTAACTAGATATTTATTTTCAATTATTAAAATAATTTTACATACATCTCATTATTTTGGCTTTTTATTCTGTTTAATCTTAAAATCGAATTAAAAATGCATTTGACATAAGACCCAATTAGCTCAGGTTGTAGGGTAGTTGCAATTTGAACTTTGGCTTATACGAAGGGTCCGCGAGCCCGCGTTCAAAACTTAAAGGGTGGTTGCAAAATTTTTTTTTGTTTTTATTTTTGTTTAGAAAAATATGAAAATGTAATAAATACAATAATTATTGTTGATTATTTTTTTTAAATACATTTTAATTATTATAATAATAACAACAACCTGGTTTTACATTTTTTTATGAAATTATTTTGTGGTCGTAGGAAAAATATTGTGTGAAAAGTGATTTTCCACACTCGTGTGATAGTCTCGTGCGACAATATTTCCCACTCGTGTGAAAAATGTTACTTTCCACTCTCGTAATGTAATATACTATATACAGATGGTAACAAGTTTTTCTTACATTTCACAAAAACAAATTATTTAACTTTCGGCTCTGTGTTAATTACACACTTTGAATAACGAACTGAAGAAAAATCTGTTTTAATTTCATTTAATCGGAACGTTTTCGAAAAAAATTGCACTTTACCCTTTAAAAGTGTACTAAACATCAGTGCAATGTACCGTTGCCAGATTTATATTTGCTAGGCTAGAAAGTGGAGTCGGTAATGTTCGTGCATTAGCTTATGCGATTAGCGATAGACCTCGTTGTATTATATTTCAATTTAAAAAGTATTTTGCGTATTGTTTAAAATTTTGTATAACGCGTATTTTTATATACTAGAATAAGTGAAATAAGTGCAAAAAATTCATTTTTTTTTTAATATTTTCGTAGGTAAATTTATTTTAACACCATTTTTCGTTGTTTCAGGTCGACGCTACAGACTCTTCATAAAGTGAGTGCCAAGGCTCGTGAACAAAATTACTTCCAAGGCGGTTTGACCCATTCGTGGGTGGAGTACTATGAAAACCGAATCGAATCTGATCGTTCATGTCTTAACGAGTGGCACGCCATGGATAACTTAGAGTCTAAAAGGCCGCCCTCGCCTGACTCAATTCGTACCAAGCCAACAGAAAGAGACGAGACTGAAAAAGTAATACGGTCTACTCTCAAAGAGATTATGATGTCGGTGGACTTGGACGAAGTCACCAGCAAGGTAAGTCAGTTCAAATTGTCTAACCTAGGTTGCTAGAATGCTTGTTAAATCTCTCAATAGCTTTTATTAGAATAAGCGTAATTTGCAGTTCATATCATTCAGACAGATCACATTCTCAAGCCTCGTCAAAACTTATCGGGCTGTATGAAGCTATACATTCTAATAAACGTTGCAAGTGGCTGTTTGGATATGTTTATCAGATATAATGTAAGGTTTGTTCCAAAAGGACGTCAGAGGTATGCGCATTTAAAATAGTCCGTTCCTACAAAGACACGAATAATCCGATGAATTGTCAGTAAACCGTTTTCTGATTCGTACATTAATGTGTCGGCGGATTGTCATAACGATCAGAGCTTCATCGCTTGTACAATTTATCAGCATATGCGTATTTGAGCGTCTCTTCTCGTTCGTGTTATTTCTTTGTTATTGTTGTGGTTTTAAGTTAGCTTGGAGTGGCTTAAATTACTATTTCTTTCAATTGAAATGAATAATTTTTCGTTTTTTCTTGTGGACGTTTTTTTTATGCAAAATACGTACAGTAGAACTTCGATTATCCGTGCGCGCTTTATCCGTGAGGCGGATTTTCCGTGCGGCATTTTAAATTGATCATACGTGCGCGGATTATCCATTGGCACATGAAAGATGCGCTAGTTACTCACGGATGGCCACACAATATTTAATGAATAAAATTAATAATTTCAATAAAATTTATATATCTAAGATGTTTTTTTCTGTCGCACTTCACCGTCCTCTGCTATCTCACATCTTGTATTCTTTCTCATATACCAACTTATAACTGCTTCTACCCTCACTCTGCTATCTTTTTACAAATCTAGCTGATAAACCCTTCAACATTTTTTAATTCACGCATTTATTTTTTCAAATTTTTATTTCTCAGATCATTACCCATCAATTTTGTTGATTATTCCATTTTTACAAAAAGAACACGCATTCAATTACTTTTAAACCATATATCATCATATACAGTGTGGGTCTAAAGTCCCCCCATTTATTTTTTAAACCGTAATTAATAATTAAGATATGAACCCATAAAAACTGATTTTAAACGAGAATATAGTACAGTGCCAAAGGTTAAAAATTTGTAGTACGCCAGTTGATAGCATTGAAAATTTAAAGCAAAGTATTTATTATGAGTAAAAAGAACAAATATTTTATTTTTATTGAACAAGCTTTCAAATGATGTATAACACATGCCGTATGATCCCATTTAAAATTATCTTCCAAAACGTCTTCCGTCCGCCATTTTTAATGATTACGTCACCTAATATCATTAAAAAGGTAGTACACATTCCTTAATTCAGTTTCCCAAAATTTCAAATTTCTAACTTTTACGTTTCAAAAAATAAATGGGGGAGGGACTTTAGACCTGCACTGTATGTATCATTTTATGTACGTTCTTTCATTAAGTATAAACATTAATTACACTATTATTTTTGTTGCATGTATCACGTTTCTTTTATTATCCGGAAAAGGCTCGGTACCGCCTGGCCCGGATAATCGAGGTTCTACTGTTTTTAGTTTTAATAAAAATAAATATCTTAAGGTTTCAAAATTATATATTCACATAGAACGTTCGAGACAGCTAAGTAAATGTAGTTTTTTAAATAATATTTAAAATACCTATTTACCAAACCTGTGTTTGGTTTATCCAATTCCATTGCATTTTTCGTTCCAACAAGTACGCTAATAAAACAACGGACGAATTGACGGATTGACATGCGCAATGATTAGTTTGCATACATGCATGAGTCAGAGACACATCAGAATAGAGCTGTGGGAACAAACCTATACTTTTAAGTTGCTCAGTGAAATACTTTTTTTTAAGTATGCGTGGCAGGGCCGACCCTGCGGCAAGGCCATTGAAAATGTAGCACTCAAATATCTTGAATCTCCATACACCAGTCAATATTGGTTTTGACAACATAGTATGTCAAGAGCTAACCTTCTAGATTTTGTTTCCGGCAAATGGAAAAATTCTATCCAGGTCCACGGCGAAACAATATTAGTAATATACGTCGCTCTTGATGGTTTCTCCTATATTCTCAAAACAATGCAAAAGTATCATTCAGTTTTATTTCCAATACTGTTACTATTACTAACTACTTACTTTCGAATTCAATTCTTCAACTGTCGAATAAAAAGCAGTGCCCCCCCCCCCTATTCTATGCTTATGAACAATCAAATTGTCTGATGGCTGTGTTGCTACGAAGAAATTTTAATTTCTAATTAGAGTAAACATTTCTCCTTTCAAATGTATAAGATACAAATTATACCTAACCTGTACTCGATTCAGTTTTGAATATCTGTTTTTGAGTGATATAATTATTTTGCCATACCTAGGGTGGCTAAACTTATTTTGTAAGGGAGAAAAATGCTTTATACATACCGGTCACCTATGTGACTGGTAGTGTGGGACTCTCATCCACTAAAGCCTCTTTAAAAGTCTTCTTTACTATGCCACTATCTATAAGATATTTATCTTCATAAAGATGAGCTCATTCAGGTTTTTTATATTTAATTATGCCTTTGGCTTGTTGTTGTCTTTCCTGGTGTTCCTTCTTATCGTTTCTACACATAAGTTATGTGTTGATCTCTCCAGTAATTCTCTTTTTCTGTTCCGTCTGTGGCATGTCAATACTGTATGCTCCACCGTATCCTGTCCACCGCAGTATATGCATTATGGTCCTCCATTTTCTTTCTCCTAACGTGTACTCTCTGAAAGGGCCATGGCCAGCCAGGAATTGCGTGAGAACATAATCTGTTGTTCTTAAAAGAAATTTCCTCTGCACTGACACTCATATTTCGATAATATTAGAATCTTAATGCCTTCTATATGGGTGCAGTGTACATTATTGTGGACTATATGATCCCATTTAATACTTCCCAGCGTCTTGGGTATTTCATAAAAGTTAAGATTAATAATTATTCCTCTCGCACTTTGTAACAAAAAGGAGCTCTTGATTGATCTTTGTAAAACATTCCATTTCCGAGATTTTTCACTTTTAGCCCTATTCACACATGAAAACTATGTATATTATGAAATTCCAAAAATGCAAATTTTTTTCAAGGGCCGATTTCGTAATCAATATTAAAAGGCCATTAACTAATGGGACCATTAGGTCCATAAGATCTTGGTCATATTAGTTAATGGACCTTTTAATATTCATTATGAAATTGGCCCTTAATAAAATTGTACATAGATTGAATAGGACTAAAACCGAAAAATCTCTGAAATGGAATGTTCTACAGAGATCAACCAAGACAAATTGCATGAGGAATAATTATTAGCCTAACTTTTATTAAATATAGGGTATTCAAAAAGTTTGAATTAAAATTATTTTCTTTTTCCCTGATTTTACGCTAATGGGTTACCGTAATTTATCGAAATAGTGTGCTAACTAATAATGACGATTAACTAACATGTACATATTTTTAAGTTAAAATCTTTTCCGTAAGGGAAAATATTTAAATACATATATTTATAAAATTCTATATCGCCCTGTAGAATGTAAAATGGAACGTTTACAGGAAAATTATATTTAGCTTTTCTTAATAATTAGTTAAGACCTACAAGTCTACAAGTTTAAGGTACTTTATTCTGAAATACCCTGTATAATGTTATCATTTTGGATATAATTTTAAAAATAATAAATATTAATTACATAACAAGAGTAGTAAGAAGCCAATTACACACGAGTAGAAAAGTAGCGCACGAGCCGAGTCAGCGGCGAGTGCAGTAATTCTACGAGCATGTAATTGCTCTTACAACTCGAGTAATGTACTATACTTACGAGAAGGCTTAGGCATTTAACTAAAAACATTGTAAATTGCAAATGCAAATACTAAATTAACTGAAGAAAAATTGTTTTAACTATAAACCTTTGTTAATAAATAGTATTGTGAATCAAGCGTTTCATTTAAATATTTACTTATTTCATTAAAAAAAATTCTGCTTTTAAATCCATCTGATTGCTTTTAATTTTGGGTACGTTTCAATATTCACTTTATTTTTTTATGGAAAATAAAACATATTGCCTATACTGATGAACATTTGAATGTTTCCATAAGTTCCTAAAATATGCCAAAAGCACATTCTCAGAAAATGAATTTACATTGTTTTTATGCGTCAGTTCATAAACTTTTGGTATACTATTTCATACCATTGCCCTTGATTTTGAGGACAGTAACTTGTGTTCCTTGAAATTTATTTTTACTATCTGACCAAATTATTTTATTTAAAAAAAAATTGTAACTACAAACATGGTGCGATTTTTTTTTAATTCTGAAATGTCAAAACTATTTATCGTAACCATAGCGATCACCTAGCAACCGAGTAATAAGGCTAGTAATAAGGGATTTCATTACGAAACAGTATCTGTAATGGAGTATTTATTTATAAGCAAAACGATATATAATAGACGATTTACTGTGGTGGTTATAGACACATTATTTTATGGAGCTTAAACTTTTGTTTTCTTTCAGGTGATAAGGAGCAGGCTTGAGGAAGAGCTCGACATGGATTTAGGAGAATATAAGTCTTTCATTGATCAAGAAATGCTGGTCATTCTAGGTCAGATGGATGCCCCCACTATGATTTTTGATCATGTGTACTTGGGTTCAGAGTGGAACGCGTCCAATTATGAAGAATTACGAAGAAATGGGTCAGTACTACTAAGTAAATTGGTTAATCAACCTTTCTAATAAATTTGTTTATTTTTCAGAGTTGGCCATATATTAAATGTAACTAGAGAAATTGATAATTTCTTTCCTGGTACATTTGATTACCTCAACGTTCGAGTATACGATGATGAAAAAACCGACCTCCTGAAACATTGGGATGACACATACAAATACATCACAAAAGTTAAAGAGCAGGGCTCTAAAGTACTTGTTCATTGCAAAATGGGTGTCAGCCGATCAGCATCAGTTGTCATAGCATATGCCATGAAAGCATGTAATTGGGACTTTAACACAGCTCTTAAACACGTGAAAGAAAAACGAAGTTGTATAAAGCCAAATACTAGCTTCCTACTGCAGCTAGAAACCTATCAAGGTATTTTAGATGCAATGAAAAATAAAGAGAAACTACAGAGATCAAAGTCTGAAACTAATCTCAAATCGCCGGGAACCAATGGAAAGAACGATAAAGTATCATTAGGAACTGGTCAACCACCCCCTGTGCGGATACTATCCAAATCTTTTAACATAGATAATACAATATCCGGACAAGCTCTAAGAAATGTAGGATCTCGTCCAAAATCGTGGTCTCCAGATAACTTATCTACTAGAGAAATGGTAGAAGCAGCTAAATCGCCTTTATCCATCTCTCTTGAAGACATCAGTCAAAAGTCTGCATCGAAAGAGTCAATCAAGGGTCTTGAGTCAAAATCGTCTCTTGCCAGACATGTGTTAATGCCTTGTGATAATGGTGAAACGTACAGTGTCTCGCCAAACCAAATAGTCCACTTACCTGACACTAATCCCTGTAGAAGCACCGAGAGGAAAAACTTGGTTCTGGATCTCGCCAGTCAATTTGAAAAGGTTGAACAAAAAGCCGAAGAAGTAGTCAGAGGAAGTTACAATGCAAATTTTAGTGATAAAAATACAAATAGAGCCGCCGAGATAAAAATGGAAACTTGGGATCCTGGTGAAGTAGCTGATAGTAAAGTGACCTGTGAAACTTCAAGCGAAACCTGTGATCAAAAAAATTTTAGTTTAAGTGAAAATCGAACTGTGTGGACTTCATCTACAATAGTTAAAACTGAAAGTGCTGTGCCCGTTAGCTGTAGTAATAGTAGTAATAATAATAATAATAATTTAGTTAAAATTCCAGACAGTATAAAATCAAAAACAGTGACACCACTCAGAGAATGTGATCCATTTTCGAATCAACTCGATCACGTATTTGACCGAGAAGAGAAGAAACAGTTACGTATATCCACCGTTCCCGTAATTTCATCTGGAGGTGGACCTGAGCTCTCTAATGAAGAAAAGTCCAAACGAGAGAGTCCCTCACGTCAAAGTTCTTGGAGTTCCTATGACTCTGCTGTTGCTCTAGGATTCCAAAATGAACATTCAGAACTGTCAAGACATAGTTCTTGGGGCTCAGGAGACACAAGGGCTCTTCCAAGTAGGAACAGTTCTTGGGGTTCCTATGATATGCAGCCAAGAGGTCCAGTTCATTACGTTAACGAAAAAGGTGAGAAAGTGATACATAGCAACTTTGATTCGACCGAAAGTGGTTTTCCGTTTGACAAGGACGATCTTCCTTGCCAAACCGGAACGGTTCGAAGGTCTAAACAAAAGATTCAAGATAGTTCCTCAAGAAAAACAAGTGGTAGTGAGAGTAGTACTGGTAGCTTTTCTTTGGTGAAGAGCTCAAGTACTGAAACTTTATTATTTGATTTAATTCCAGATCTGACAGAAATCCCGGTGACTAACGTTACAGATGAGTCTGTCAAGTCTAGTGCCATATCGGACAAAATCGACATCCCCAAGGACGAGCACAAATTACCCACGGTCACTGCCAGATTGTCTAACAGCGCTCCAGAACCTTCTTCAATGGAATTGATCAAGCAGGATGAATCTCTGTCACGTTCTGCATCAAATGTTTCTTCAAAGGAAGTATCAGATTCCGTCATAAGTATTGCGCAGTGTTCTTCGGTAAAACAACACAAAACATTCCTGGAAAATTTACATAATATCCATGATTTCCAGAATACAATAAAGAAAACAGATGAACTGTTAGATGGTGCAAATAGTTCGGGTAAAGTTAAAAATTTGAAAAAGGAATTTGAAGCCAAATCGAGCACAAATACAGACCAAGTCGATATACCAGACACTTCTAAAACAAAAGGAAATAGTTTACCAACGTCCCCTCTTAGCATCCATATAGGTAAAGAGAAAAAATCGGAGACTAAAATTAGTTCCAACGACGATATTAACTTGAAAAATTTAATTGGTATTTTCGAGAACAACGTAGATGGCGGCGTTCAGGTAAATCGTAGACAAAAATTCAACTTGGCCAACAACAGTAGACCATTCACCCAAAACAAAAACACTCGATACTCTTGTATAGAAGTTTCTGTTGAAAAAACGCCTCGTATTTTACAGACACCTCTCATTTCAAATCTTAATAAAAATGGTTCTGTCGTAGATAAAAGTGAAGACAAGAGACCACCTATCGTACCCGTCGTAAGGACCTCTTCGCCGGGTCTGATGGTGGCTGCCACTGTCATTACGGCCGCTAAGAAAAAGCAACAACAATATGGCAAGAGCCATCCCTTGGCTAGATTGAACATCAAACCCAGACACAACAATCCCATCTACAATACTATGTAATGCTCAAATTACAGAAAAGGCTGTGACTGCATTTTTATTCTAATTGTTACTACTTTTGTTTGTTTTTACAGGACGATCTCTTTATGACTGTTATTATTGATTTGCTAAGAATTATAAAGAGACGAATGTCGGGAAAAGTTATATGAATGCTCTACATACAGTCTATTGTGGCTCTAAGAATGATAAAAAGATCAATTGTATTCAAATGAATGTTTTTTTTTCAAGATTAATTTTTGGATTTGTACTTACTGTTTTTAATTATCGTTTTTTAATTTTATATTACTGTAACTTGAAAATACAAAACTGAATTTGCTCTAATGTTGCTCATTATTCTTGTTATCTCACTCAAATTTGACACTCTAGAGTACGATTAAGAGTTTTTAAGTGTTTGTATTGCAATAAAAGAAAATAATACAGTACACCAACCACATCATGGTCATTTAATTTCTAAGTAAGTTGATTTTGAAACGACTTATTTTTATTCATTTAAAGAACTAAAATCGATTTAATATTATCCTCATATTTTTCTACTTATTTTTTAGATATGGAACATTTATATTAATTTGTTTTATAGTAATATAAAACAAGAAATGTGTATGTTACATAGACTACTCTTGCTTCAGGGTCCTCAATTATTATATTCTATTCATTTACATAAATTACAAAAAAAAACTATTAAAAAAGTTAGGAATAATCTTATTGCATTTTGTTTATAGAAACCGTTTCTACGGAAGATCAAATGTATTTGTCTATGACCTAGTATTGAATAGTATTACTGGGTTTAAAAATAGAAAAGATACCTTTTTAATTTTTTCGAGATATTATTTTCCAATTAGTAAAATCCTTTGCAATTTCACTATATCGTTGGTGACATAAGTTGTGTTCCTCTGACAATGACGGTGACAAAAATACATGTTATAGGTATCGATTAAAATTTTATTACTATTATTTACAAGATTAATATTCATTTAAACATTAAAAATAATTTGTTTACATGTTACATACTTTTAAACTTACGAGTCTTCAACAATATCTGTATTTATGACTTTTATGATATCATAAGTATTAGTTCTGTCAAATAGATCAGGGAAATTGTTTTAGGGTTCTTGCTGAAGTTGTTGGTGTTATTTTTAGCCAACTGATAACATGACATCAATTTAGTCAACTGATGACATCAATTTAGTTACGTGGAGTACGGGTATTGTTGAATACTCTGTACTTTTTACGACATGAAAACAATATTAAAAATAAATTAAAAACCTATTATCTCTTATTTTTCTTCTATAGTTTTGTCGGGTTAGCACTCACTATCTACCCAGTTACTTACGTGTTTTTTTTAAATTTATTTTATGGAAAAAGCTACACTCTCATACATCTGACCTTTGGTCATTATTTTTTTAACTTCACTTGGTATTTAATTCAAAATATTATTTTCCAATTTTGGCTGTGAATATTCTAATTAATGGACATTTTATGATAATCTGAAATGCTGCATTTTCAATTCTGATACCACCATTTCGATGTTTACGCGACAGTGTTAAAGTGACCATTTTTTGAAAAGTAGAAAGCGGGACAAATTGAGAACATGGAGGGGGTGGAGTAGAAAATAAAAACTGCTGGTCTCTCTGTTCGCGTTCACAAATTTGCAACCTGACGTGGTGACAAATAAAACAACGTTGTCACATAATATTTAATAGGAGAGCGTGACATCAGAGACAACTAATGAGACGGTTAACTCAATGCAATTTTACTTTTCACCAAGAATTGACTGGGCGATTAGACTGGAAGATAAGGCCGATGGCGCTGGTATACCTTGTGTTTTAATAGTGGCCTTTTTCTTTATAAGCAACCGGTCAAATTAGAATTTTTTTTTTTTAAAAAGAAGAACCACGGGAAATTCAAATATGTAGATCCACTTTATCTATTATTTTTATGATTTTTTTCTGATTTGATGCACTGGAAATGTGAATAAATATGTAATTCACATTTACTAGCACATCAAATCAGAAAAAAAAATCATTTTTTTTTAGGCACACAAAATAAAAAGCATTAAAAAGGAAAATAAAACGAAGTATGATTTCAATAACAAGATATATTCTGTATTAAACAATAATAAACATTCACATCACAAAGGTTCTACAATAAAATTGAAATACTTACTTTACGGAAATTAAACAAAATCCCGGCGTGATCCGGGCATTGTTAGTTCCTTCGGGTTTGTAAACAAACTTAAAACTACCTATTATGAAAACACCACGATAAAAATGTTATTTACCGGGGAAAACACTAAACTAACAAATTTAAATACGTAACTAATAATGAATGAAAAACAACAAAAAAAAATGAATTTACAAGTTAAATTGTAAAATATATGTAAGTAAAACGACACCAAAGTCACCAAACATAGAAACAAAAAATTGGACAAGGAGATAAAATGATAGGTTAGAAATACGTCAATCTGGCAGACGTCAGTGAAATGCTCGTGCTGTGATGCCAAACTTATTTTATTCTAGTGCTATTGACTTTTTATTTTTGATCTTTGTACACAATCCTGCTATATATTTCTTAAAACACATCTTTTGTTATATATATTATATACAAAGAAATTAAAAGTCCAATATAAGTATTACTTATGGATAAATAAGATCATTATTATTTAAATGTAAAAGAAACAAATTTGGAAAATGTTCATAACGGCAACATTGCTGGAACGTTACCAGCGACATCTTCCCTATCTTTTAGCTTATGAGAACAAGATAACGTTATAAGGAAATAATGTACATGACAAAGATAAAATACCAGCTGACCCTGATGACTACTATACCTAAATGTCAATCAATTTTTGCTATGAAGTTAACCGTCTCGTGTTGTCTCTGGTGACATCCATAAAAATTGTATTTTTTGGCGGCTTAACCTTTTAGATCCTGTTGGGAAATATATGTCCCAGTAAATGTTAAAAAATTGCTAACGGTAGGAAAACCTATTAAACATGCGTACAGTTGGGACGTTTTAGAGTTTTATAGACAGGCATTGATTTAAACTTGTGGCAACGCTGCAACTTCATTCAGTTTGTACTTTATTATTGACTAAGAAGTTCTAAAATAATGTGCGAATTGAAAAAGCTGAGTTGTATTAATCGAATATTTCGTGAATACTAATATTCTCAGTAGGATACAATTTTTATGGCGACGTGACAACGCTCTCTATTAAATATTATGTGGCATTATCATTCATCCATTAAAAAGTATTTATTTCTGTTTTAAAATATATACATTGCAATTTAAAATCATTTCTTCGAGTAGGTTCCCGGGGTGTACCTGGGTACCAGGCAGATGGTCGCCTGTGAACGATTTAAATTGCTTAACTCATTTTTTGGTGTTTTAACAACTCCTTGTTTAATGACATTATTATTGTGATTTTTACGCAGTACGCAGTAAGTGACCTGGATTTTGCGGCGTATGTTAGTTTTGTCTGGTCCTCTCTGGAAAAGCATTTGAAAAATCCAGAGTTGTTGTTGTCTGAGTGAGGGCGAAAAGGTCGTCGTTTTGGATTTTGCAACCCGTCCGACCAGATTTAAAGACGATTTGGTATCTGCTCGGAAGGTCGGCCTCCCCGTTTAGTCTTTCGCCAATTAGAGTGTGATTATGTTAGCGAGAAATTGAACGTGTGTATTATGTGGCAACGTTATTTTATTTGTTACCACGTTGGCGGTGCACATCGGGTTGCTTATTCGCGAACGCAAAAAGAGAGATCAGCAGATTTTATTTTCTACCTTGCCCCTCCCATGTTTTCAATCTGTCCCGCTTTCTACTGTTCAAAATATGGTCACTTTATGAATATGTCCCAGTTGGTATTTTTAGCATGTTATATATGTCCCAATAGGGGCTGAACAGTCCCAGATAATGTCTAATATTTATGACCACTTAGGAGTGAATATGAAATGGGATAAATATGTTACAAGTATGTACAGCAAAAAAATGAAAAGCTTACTAAAATATGATGGGTGTATAATTTTTCACTTCACATACCAAACTGTAAATCACTGACAAGACATATCTGTCTTACCTGAAAACACGACTGGGACATATATATTCTACTTTTTTCATTATTTCACGAAAAACCAAAATACTGCAAAAAAAAACAATCCGGAATTAAAGAGTTAAATGAAATAATTATAGATTATTTTTTATTTTAAATCGGGACAAAATCGGGACATATCTTAAATCGAAACTGGTGGTTTAAAATCGAGATTGTCCTGCCTAAAGGGTCACTTTAGACTGTGTCAAAATCGAAAGTCTACTTATTATGATAAATTCAATGACATAATAGTTTGTTATTGTTAACTGTCAGTAAAACACAAATTGCGTCACATTAATATAGTGTATTCTCGTAGATACGCATTAATAACCAATGGGAACAATCAGAAATAATATACCCTAATGGTTCCGGGCAATTTAAATTATATATGATAGTTAAATAATAATATAATTACTTACTTGCTTATATTTTATCTTTTCTATCAGGATATTCATTGACTAACATTAAATTTAAAAAGTTTGGTTGTGTTATTCTTCTTTAGTTTAATGGATCCGCCTATGCAGGTATCTGATTCTGTAGATGCGCAATACGCTATAATTAGTGATGACGTAATTTGTGTTCCACTGAGTAAGTCGGTGACAAAATAGAGGTCATAGATATTTATTAACATATTATTTTCAATATTGTATTCATTTAAAAATTAAAAAAAAATTGTATATATACCTTTAAACTACTTTTTACGATCTGCAAACAATATGAAAAAAAAGCTTGTCAAATTTAAATGGTTTGATTTTTTTCAACAACGACAAACAACTACTAGACCAATTTTGTTTACAAAAGGCAACCTGCAACCATTCACGTCGTTATCCAACATAGTTGGCAAATTATTGAAGAGTCTATGTAGAGGGATTGTTTGTGATTATATTTCGAAAACAAAAGGCTCTAAAACGCAAAAAAGGATT